CCCTGGTGGATACAGACTTGCCGACTGGAAATTCTCCAGGCCCCCCGCTAATTATGTCCTCTCCAGTTACACATCCTTAAAAAAGGCCCTGAACCAAATGTTATACCTCATAGCAATATGTATTATTAAGAGCAGTGCATGAAGCTAGAAAACTCAACGTTAACTATAATTAAAGAATCTAAATAATATAAGCTATTGAAAAAAGATGCTGCGAAAGAAAGTGTGGCAAAAAAAAATCGTACATGGTGATGGGATAAAAAAAATCTTGCACATAACGATCCCAGAAAAAAATTCCCTGCCAGCAGTAATCCCCCCCCCCCCCCACCCCTCAAAGGTTAAATGGTGGGCCCTAATTTAAGAAATTGTGCATGAGCGTTATTTATAGCTTTTTTATTACAAAATTTACCCGATTCTTAACCAAAAGTTGCTTTGTAGCGAGACTCGTTCTGACCTGAAGAAAGGTTCTGCATTATGCAAGAACCTTTCTTCAGGTAAGAACGAGTCTCGCTCAGGAGACGCACATATTAAATTGCATTGCCTGTGGGCTAACAGTAATTCCTTGGCCCACGCTACAAATTTCATGAGATCATGGTTTGTTGCCAGCTCACGTTGCATGCAGAAAAATCAGAAATATTGTAATCTTCCTCATTTTATTCACAACAACTTGGCAGTCTACGTCACTTGTAGATTTTTAATGATATCTCCGAACAAAGAGGGGGGGGGGCAAGGGGGGAGGGGTCTCGTCACGAAATCACGAAGATCATTTTTCAATTTCACGAGTCACGAAAAACAAAAATTTCATTTTCACGATTTTTAGAAACACAGAAGCGTAACAAAGTCTGAAACCATGTAACGATTTTCTAGACAGCAGAACTTGATGTTAACACAAAGTCACAAACACAAGTTTACTGACTTTGACATATTAAAGAGCTTTTTTTAAAGACTATGGAATTCATTGCGAGGCATTACGAAACATTACGAGCGTCTTACGATGGTTTACGAAGAGGTACGAACGTTATACAATAACGACGTTTACCGATGAAAGGAAGAAACCTCATTAAGAAAGACAACCGCGGGAAGCAAAATTTATTCACCCCCCCCCCCCCCCC